ATCAGTCCATTTCAGGTTTTTGCTTTTTTTCCTCTGCGCTTGCAGTTTTTTTGACATAATTCTTTAATACTTATTGGTTCTTTATTTCCCATACCAAACCTTACTTTAGCAGATATGATAGGTTTTATAATCTTTCTTTCTAATTTTTCACGAGGTGTAGGATTACGTATAGCATCCATTTGTTCAAGCATTATTTTATCAGCTAAATTTCTATTCTCTTTATCTGTAAAATGTTTATAAGCAAGATCATGAATATAAGCTGTTTTATCAACTCTATCTACAGGCATACTCCATTCTTTAGGCATCTCAGTAGAAGTTAATCTTTCATCTAAATTAGTACCAGGTCCTGCAAAGTTCATACCTGGTATATGCATTTCACCCGGAAACTTTTGCAAAGGTAATTTTCTATTACTTGTAAATTTATTAATAGATTCTACCAAATCACCTCCTTTTTGAGCTCCTTTTATAAATTGACATTTTCTTGTTCCGCAGATTGCACAATTTCCACATTGCATATTTCTTTTGTTTTTACTCACAGCATGTTGTAAGTTGAGTGTATCTGTTTTGTTTTTACATTTAACGCAATACATTTTTTATATATGTATTTTAATTTATTTAATTTAAAAAATACTTTTCGTAAATAAAAAATGGAAATTATAGATTTATCATGGAATGTAAATAAAAGTAAACGTCAAAATAATGAGTTATTGCCTAAAAGTATAAGAGGGATTATTGTTGGAAAATCAGGTTGTGGAAAAACAACATTATTATTAAACTTGCTATTAAGACCTGGTTTGTTTAGACTATAATAATTTACAAGTTTTTGGAAAATCTCTTTTTCAACCTGAATACAAAATATTAAAAAATTCTTTTGAAAATAAATTACCAAAAGAAGTTATTCTTAAACTATTTGAGTTGCAAGATCAAATAAATAAAAACAATGTAAATTCAGAGTTTGTTATTAAAGACATTTCAAGAAATTTAAAAGATAAAACAGATATAGAATGTAAATTTTTTGAAACAGCAGAGGATGTACCAGAACCTGAAAATCTTAACTGTATTAAAAATAATTTAATGATATTTGATGATTTACAATTAACAAAACAAAACAAGTGTGAAAAGTACTATATAAGAGGAAGACATAGCAATGTAGATTGTTTCTACTTGGCACAAAATTATTTTGAGTTGCCTAGGAGAACGATAAGAGAAAATGCAAATTTTATATGCTTGTTTAAACAAGATTCTAAAAATGTAAATCATATTTATAATGACCATGTTTCAAATGATATGAAATTAGATGAATTTAAAAAGTTTTGTAATGAAGCTTGGTCAAAAAAGCATGGATTTGTTGTTATAGATTTGTCTTCTGATTTATTAAATGGAAAGTATAGAAGTGGATTAGATTTATTTTATTATCCAACTTCATTGTGGAATCGATAAATATATATTTTTAAAAATATATATTTTTATGAAGCATTGGTTCTTTCAGAACTTAGTGAAGCCTGGATCACGAAGTGATCTAAAGAAACAAATTTAATAATGGGATATTCTTAAATGGTGAATTTTCTCCTAATAACAAACCTTTACCTACTGATGAATAATCATTTCCATTTTTAGAATAATATCCGTCTAAATGATTATAACCACTATTCCATGGGTTTAAAAATACACCTTTTCCTACTTTTCTAATTTTAAATCCATAACCATTCTTTTTTTCCATAAATAATACCATTTCCAGCAATTTTATTAACTATAGCATGTCCAGCAGCTGCACCTACTCCTGTTAATGCTGCTGTCGCTATAACCGGAGCAGCTTTTGCAATTACACTTCCAATTAATCCAGCTAATCCTATTAAAGGTAGAAATCCACCATTTTTTTTAGCATTATGTTTAAGTTGTGCTCTACTCAGTGAAAGTGTTATACCCTTATTTTTTAAATAGGCTGCTTTCATTCTGTTTCTTTGTGACTCTGTTAAAGCTATTTTGTGTTCACCATTTAAATCTTCATATGATAGTTTTATACTAGCATTAGTATCAGACTCAATTGCTTTTTTAATTTTCTCTTTCTGAGTATCTGAAAGATTGATAAGAGTATCATAGTATTTTGTCATTTTTTATATATAAAATAATTTTTTTAATTCACTTTAAGTTATTGCTTTCTGTAATGCTTTATACTCATCATCATCTATTTGCCCGTGTCGTAACAACTCATCACAAATAGCAACAATCTCATTTCTTGTTCCAGTATTTCCTGCTTGTAAACCAGCTAAGCGTAATTTAAGCATATCAAATAGTGCATTTGGATCACTAGGAAGAATAACAACTCCTTTTCCAGACTTTCCAATCATCTCTTCCCAAATAGGTTTTATTACATTAGTGTACTTATAACCTTTAGATGATCTTGGTTTAGCTAAATTTAAATCAGAGCGAATTGCATCTGTTTGATTTAAAATTTCTTTACACTTATTACGATCATCGTTAGTATATCTAACAGGATGAGATTTTACTATGATTTTCCAAAGACCAGGTGTACCAGTGTATTTTTTACCTTCAATAATTATATCATTACCTTCAATAGTTATTGGTTTTTTACCAATGTAAAATTTTTCATTACCTTCATTGTAATGTATACCAAATATGTCATCTGATACTTTTTTACTATTTTTAGTAGTATATAACTTTAAATATTCTGTTGCGATAGGTCCTAATCTCATGTTATCTACAACTTCAGGTGGCATGATTGCTTTAGTTTCAGAATCTAGTAAAGCAGGAAATTTGAAAAAGTATTTGCTATTTGATCAGCTTTATTTTCTAATTTAGATATACCTTCTTTTATTCCAGATTGACTATCAATTATTGGTTTGTACAACTTTTCCAAGTTAGTCTGTAAAGCATCATAGCCTAACTTTTCATTTACATCATCTTGATATATACTTTTCTTTAAACTAGCAAGTTCTTTTGCTATTTTTAATCTTGCATCAATATCTATAGCTTTTGCATACATTTTATATAAGCAATAATTTTTTTTAAATCACAATGTGATCCCTATATCCCTAAAGGGATTTAAATCAACATATATTATGTTTTTAATACATAATATATGTTCAAATAATATATAATATATGTTTTTTTTATTTAATTCTTAAGAGTATTATTCATCACTCCTATATTCTGATTTTTGTTAAATCTCATATTTAGCAATTCCATAGCTTCTTTCATTGCTTTCTCTTTACCTTGATTAATGAGTGACTCTTTAGTCTGTTCATCTATATTATTTTTAGATTTTGTTCTAATTTGTTCAGTCATAGCTTGAAACTTTTCAAGTTCTGAAAGTATCATATTAAATTCTGCATCATCAATATATTGATCTGATATAGCTTTAGAAATAAGACTACTTATTGTATTTAGTTTTGCATCAGATAGTACTTTAATCTTTTCATGCTTTTCTGCTTTTATTGCTAATTTTTTAATAGCTTGTGATCCTATTAATGATAATACACCCATACCTAATGCTGCACCTTCACATGCAATAGCTACTGGTGTTCCAACTATTGTTGTTAAAAAACCAATACCAACAGCTCCAAGTGTCATAGTAGTTGCAAGTAATGAATTATCGATTGCTGAAATTATTCTTACAGCTCTGTGATATTTTTTACTTAGCATAGCTCTTCTATTTCTTTCACATTCCATTTTATTTTGAATTTCACTTATCTTATCTAATCGATATCTCTGATCTATAGATTGTGGTGGTGCAGATGGATTTTCTGAAAACTGGTTAAGATCTGGATAAAGCTGCTTACATTCATTATTATATCCATTATTACATAGCATTTCTTTTTTCTATAAAGAAAAATTTGTTTTAAATCACTTTTGTGATAATGCTTCGCTAAATCACTTTTTACCAAAATTAAATATATCTTCATCAGATTTATCTATACTAGGTTTATCTTTAATTACTTCTTCTATACTTGATAATAAAGATTTTACAGATTCTTTATCACTTTTCTGTTTAGTTCCTGAGTCATTTTGTTGTCTAATTTGTTCTTCTTTAACATGTTCTAAAGCATCTCTATGTGATATATAATTTGCATTTAAAACACCATTATAAGTTGATATACAACATAACAAATCTCCTTTTTTAATGTTTATATCTTTTTTATCGTTATTATATACAGTTATTTTAATATCGTCAGTAGACTCTGTTACAATAGAATTTAGTAAATTTAGTTCTGGTTTATAATTTTCTGCAATTGAAATAACTATATGTCCTTTATCTATTTCAACACCACACATTAAAGAAATGTTATTATATGAATTTGATTTTACTGTAAAATCTTCTTGTGCGAATACTTTAATATGTCTATCATTTATTGCTCTATGTTCTAAATCTGAATTAATATTAAAAGTTATTCTATATTGTTCATGCTTTTCATAATATAAAAACATTCTACTATTATACATTTTATAAATGTAAAGATTTTTTTAAATCACTCTGTAATCCTCATATCTATTTTGTTTTTAAAGTTCTAGCAATATAATTTAAAATGCTTTCACCTTGATGTAAAAAATTACACTTTTTATTATCATTAACATTTTTATATATTAATATTTTTTCTCCTTTTTTATTTTTCTTTAATTTACTCTCTACTAATTTACATGGAGTATAATGACAAATTTCTACATTTTCTTCAATTTCTTTAAAAGAATGAGCATATTTGCAATTTATATTTTTACATTCTTTTTTATCAAGAATATATTTACATAATTTAGTTTTAGCTTTTCTTAATTTTAATAATTCTGACTTTTTAGGATGAAACAATCTACACTTTTTATTCTTACATTTAGGGTATTCATAGCAAATATGAATATGCCTATATTAACATGAAGATTTAGTGCATATGAGTCTTTCTTTTACAGTATTACAATAAGGAATATCATGATTGTATTTACATTTTCTTCCAAAAGGACAATAATTATCATTTAAAATATTTTTACAGAAAATGGGTAGTTTCTCTACAAAATGAAATGTTGAAGGTTTTCCGTCTTCAGTAAAATTAATATCTACATTAAATGGTTTTTCAAAACTAAATTTTCTTTTTTTATAATGTTTTTTAAAAGAAGTATTATCTATAGCAGGATAATCATCATTAATAACATTATAAGTTGGAATATAATTAATCCATTTCAGCTTATCTTTATGCAGTTCCATGATTTCAACTGTTTTTAAAGGAATTGGAACTATAGGTTTTTCTTTAACTTCATCTTCATCATCAGATGTAAAATAAGTAGCTTCATCAGATGTATAATAAGTGTCATCTTCAGAATCTGATTCTTCAAATTCAAATTTTAATATTTCTTCAAAAAGTTTAAATTCTTTTTGAAATTCAGATATTTCATTAATCTCATCATCATTCATTTTTTATTTTTATTATTTGTAAAAATATTTTAAATCAAAAAAAATTGAAAATGAATTAAATAATTTTCTTTTATATATAAAAAGAATGGAAAACGAAATGCAAAATTCATTTTTAAAATCAATAGAACAAAGATTAAGATTAATAGAAGAAAAATTAAATATTATTGATATTCATGATATTGAAATGACTGAAGATTCTGAAGTTACTACAGTTACTACTACTGAAGTTACTGAAATTACAGAAACTACTGAATATGTTAATGAAGATGATGAAGATGAAGAAGATGATGAAGATGATGAAGATGAAGAAGATGAAAATGAAGATGATGAAGATGAAGAAGATGAAAATAGTTACATTAAAATATTAAAATATTTACATGAATTAGGGTATAAAAGTTCAGAAGATGCTTATGAAAATGCTGCTAAAAATGGAAATCTTGAACTTATTAAATATTTACATGAATTAGGGTATAAATGTACATATTTTAATATTAATTTAGCTATTAAAAGTGGAAATCTTGAACTTATTAAATATTTACATGAATTAGGGTATAAAGGTGATAAATTAGCAATTAGTTATGCTTTTGAAAATGCTGCTAAAAATGGAAATCTTGAACTTATTAAATATTTACATGAATTAGGGTATGAAGGTACATATTTGACATTTGATTTAGCTGTTAAAAGTGGAAATCTTGAACTTATTAAATATTTACATGAATTAGGGTATAAAGGTACAGAATTTGCAATAGATGAAGCTGTTGAACATGGAAATATTGAAATTTTTAAATATTTACATGAATTAGGGTATAAATGTACAACATGGACAATATTATGTGTTGCTAAAAATGGTCACCTTGAAGTAATTAAATATTTACATGAATTAGGATATAAAGGTAATGAATGGACAATTTTTTCTGCTGTTGAAAGTGGAAATCTTGAACTTATTAAATATTTACATGAATTTGGATATAAAGGTAATGAATGTGCATTTAATTGTGCAGTAATTAAACAGCTTTTACATGAAAATACGCATAAAGGTGCAGGTAGTAACCTTGAAATTATTAAATATTTACATGAATTAGGGTATAAAGGTTCAGAAAAATACTTTGATAAAGCTGTTCAAAATGGATATATTTAAACTTTTGATACACGTAGTGAATATAAATTCTAGTAGTGATAAAGTTAAGCAATGCTACTACTACGCATAAGCGCTACTATGTGTAAGCAAATCCAGCGCATGCGCATTAAAAAAATAAAAAAATTTGAAAATGAGTTAAATAATTTTCTTGTGTATATAAAAAGAATGGAAAATAATATTGAGAATAATAAATTTTTAATAAAACCTTCAACTCAGGAATATTATATTACAACAGTATTAAAAAACTATGGGTATAAAAAAGGTAATAAAGTTGATTTTGCTGCAAGTATAGGCAGAAATGATCTTATTAAATTATTAAATCAATTAGGTGAAAAGAGTACAGAAGATGTACAAAAATATTTACAATCATTAGGTTATAAAGGTATAAAAGATGCAATAGATAATGCTGTAAAAAATAGTCACCTTGAAGTAGTAAAATATTTAATTGAATTAGGGTATAGAGGTGCAGAAGATTCAATTGATTTTGCTGTAAGTATTGGTCGAATTGAAATAGTTAAATATTTACATGAATTAGGGTATAGAGGAACAGAAAATGCAATTAATGAAGCTGCAAAAAATGGTCACCTTGACGTAGTAAAATATTTACATTCTATTGGATATAGAGTAGAAGAATGGACATTTTATCTTGTTGTATACAAAGGTTACCATGAAATAGTTAAATATTTACATGAATTAGGGTATAGAGGTGCAGAAGATTCAATTGATTTTACTGCAAGTATTGGTCAAATTGAAACAGTTAAATATTTACATGAATTAGGGTATAGAGGAACAGAAAATGCAATTAATGAAGCTGCAGAAAATGGTCACCTTGAAGTAGTAAAGTATTTATATTCGATGGGGTATAGAGGAACAGAAAATGCAATTAATGAAGCTGCAAAAAATGGTCACCTTGAAGTAGTAAAGTATTTATATTCGATGGGGTATAGAGGAACAGAATATGCATCATCTAATGCTGTAGAAAATGGTAAAAAATTGAAGTTATTAGGTATTTGCATTCTTTAGGGTTTGAATAAGAAGCAAGAAATAAAAATTGAAAATAAATTTCTTTACATAAATTATAAGAAATGGATTTTACAAGTAAAGATATTAAATTAGGAAGTTATAAAAGAAGATTAAGATTAGCTCGTTATTTGCAAAATAAAATTAAATTACAATATGAAAAGTTAGAAAAGGAAAGATTAGAAGAAGAAAAGTTAAAAACACCAGATAATATTTATTATTAGAAAAAGTCACGTGACCTGTGACGTCATGCAAGAAATTTTCGTAACATTTCATAACAAGAAATAAAAATTAACACTTATTTTAAAAAATCAATTTTTTAAAGTAAAAAATTATTTCTTGTTGAAATAATTTATATACAATATGGTTAACATTGAACTCTATATTAATATTAATTTATGGTTAAAAATAGGGTTGAAAATGAAAATATTCTATTAACCGGCAATCTCTTACTACTGCCGAAAGTCGAAGACTTTGAAAAGTCGAATGGTCGATTTAATTGACTAACGACATCTTACTAATCGGCTAAAAGTCGATTTATCCGATTAAAAATCTTTAAATCCGTATTAACTTTTTTATTCAATTTAACATTTCTATCAATAATTTTTATCATTCATTTAATAACAATAGTATGTAGGGGATAGTGGGATTAATAAGGACACGTAATTTTTTCTATAGGATAACCTGAAGAACCGCCGGTAAAATGCGAACTTTTTTGCGAACCAAGACATTATATTTTAATGACCACTACAGTTATTATATTTAAAAAAACATTTGCTCGTCAATTTTTTAAATCAAAAATAGTGCAATTTGATACATTTTATTTAAATTAGATTTCTTTTAAATTAAATATAATTTATGTAATATAATAAATATAGTAAAATAAACAAATATAAATAATATAGTAAAATAAACAATTTAACGGTAAACGGAAAATAAAAAATATTACATCATTAACAACCAATAGAACTATGGTTTGCAAAAAAGTTCGCATTTTACCGGTTCGCGGTTCGCAGTTCGCTTTTTACCGACTACCTCGAGTTAAGAATATTTTTTACCTCAGCTTAGTTTACAGTGAGTTAGCGTAAAGTGAGCTTCACTTTACGCTAACTCACTGTTCACTTAATAATACATAACTTTTGAAATAATTAATATTTTTGATTTCTGTAAAGTGAATTATTTTTGTTCAGGTATACATTTTTTAAAAATATTTAAGTAAATTAAAATGTTGCATTATTTTAATAATTATGTAAAAGCAATTAGCGCGTAGAAGTTTTTCTTCTTTTATTATTTTTTTCAAAACTTTAAATTGACTTTTAAAAAAATTTCTGAATTACTCCAAAAATATTTTTACATGATTAAATTTTGTTAGTTTTCAGAAATATATTCCAGTTTTTAAAAATTGCCCCTAGTTGCCCTAATTTAAAATATATCTATTTGTTTGCAGTGATGTATCACTTCAAATACAAGGATTTATTTAATGTATGGCTGGAAAAGAAAGATAAAAATAAGAAAAACTCAAATATTTTTGAGCACGTCATTAAATAGTTGGAAATTATATAACAGGAGTTATTAGCAAAAATATTCGAAAAAATATATATCGCTTGTGCAACTCCTTTGAGAGTATGAAAGAAAATGGTCAGATAGTCAAAGAACAATGGGCTGATTTAAAACTAAAAATTCAGATTGGTTGAAGAGAGAAATACATTTACTAATGATGTAATTCCATCAACATCTTGTTGTCAGTCAATTCCATCAAGGTTTTCTGGACAACCAAGTTTATTATATACCGAAATATCGGATCGGACCAAGAGATTGGAAGCGTCAAATTTATGTCAAGATAATTTGCACAAAACATCGTTTATATTGCAAGCAGCAGGTACGGCTACACGTCAGCAAAAGAAACGCGATTTAGCATTGGTTCTAAAAAAACTAAACAAAAGTTGTCTCGGCCAACTAAAATTAAAAAAACTATACTTTCAACATAAAAAGAAACAGTAAGTTATACAGCGGAAGAAGTATTATAATTAATTTTGGATTCAATTTAAGTAAACAACAGAAAAAAAACATTAGGCAAGGAGCTGTTACCAAAGATTTTAGTTTGTATCCTGATTATTTGGAAATGTAAATCGGCTTGTAGACCAAATGGTATATCAATTTCCGATATCTTTGCATAAGTACCATTAATGAATTTATTAAAACATACAGTGAGACGTATTATACAATTACAAAAAGAAGTGATTTTTTAGCACACGGAATCCCTTAACGCTAACGAAATTACTGCCGAGATAATATTTAGTTATGGGTTTGACGGCAGTTCCGGTCAATCAGCCTATAAACAAAAGTTTGATATTGCTGGCTGTCATTCTATATTCAAATTTATTTGTGACAACTTTTTTACCACTCCGTTTGAATTCAGAAGATAATAAAATCTTTTGGAACAATTGCATTCCTCAATCTGTGCGGTTTTGTATATCATATAAAATTGAATAGTTAAAAGAATCCACAGATAGGTAACAAAATCCGAATGATTTTGTTAAAGTGCAGGATTTAAAAACCACATAATTATTTAGATCTAAACCAAATGCTTTACAGTATGGCATTAGTTCACTACATGCTTGGATACGATTTTTTGAATGCATCGTCAACATACCATACAGACATGATTTGTGTAAATGGCAAATTCGAGGTACTAATAATAAGAAAAATTACTTATGTAAAAAAAAAATACAAGAACCGTTCTTTGAAAATTTACACCTTCACGAGGATAAACCAAAAGTAGGAGGTTTTGGAAGTACCAACGACGGCAATACTGCACGCCGAAAAATTTTCAGAAATAACTAATGTGGATGAAGAGTTGATTAAATTGTTTAAAACTATTCTTATTTCCATCTCTTGACAGTATCAAACTAATTTAGACAAATTTGAAAAATATTGTTTTAAGATGGCAAAACATTATATGTTTAAATATCCTTGGTATCCAATGCCTGCAACTGTACACAAAGTTTTAGTTCTTGGCAGACAAATTCTCGAAATACAGTACTGCCAATTGGTCATTTTGATGAAGAAGGGTCTGAAGCAAGACATAAAACATATAAACATAATAGACAATTTCATGCTCGCAAAACTAGCAGAGAAAAAAATTTAGATATCTAAGATATTTTTCATAAGGTTTTAGATACCTTAGATCCTATCAGTATAACATAACATAACAGTCAAAGTTAAAGCTTTAATACGTAAAAAGAAAAATTTATGGAACCAATTAAGAGCTGGTAAATTTAAATATCTTAATAAATTAAATGAGTTCAAAGCAGTAAAAAAATTAGTCAAAAACAAGTTAAAAGAATCCACTATTGATTATACAATTGTAGAATAGTCTCGGTTTTTTTTTTTTGCATTATTTATAGTTTTTTTCTCATAATCAATAGTGGATTCTTTCCGATGTTTTTTTGGTTCTTTTTTCGCGTATTTAAATACGCGAAAAAGAACCAAAAAAACATCGGTAAAATACAATCAATGAAAAACTATGCAAATGTTTTCATATCTGACAGGCATGAGATTGTTAACATATTGAACAAAAGTTTTCAATCGGTTTTTGTTAAAGAGCATGGTGAAATTCCGGAGTTTGTACCACATATTACAAAACATTTTAAATAGGATTTGATAAATGTTTTTTATAAATGAAGCAGTTCATCTAAAACTGTATTCTTTGGACGTCAACAAAGCATGTGGTAGCGATGGTATTAGTCCTTACGTAGTTAAAAATTGTTCAAGTAGTGTAGCAACTCCATTAGCTTTAATTTACCGAAAATCAATTGAAACAGGAAAAATTCCTTGCAAATGGAAAGAAGCAAATATTACTCCAATATTCAAGAATGGAAATACAACAGACCCGCTTAACTACTGACCCGTATCATTAACATCTGTACTATGCAAAGTTATGGAAGCATTCATAAAAGAAACGATAATGACTCATTTGATGGAAAATAAATTGCTATCAAAAAATCAACATGGCTTCGTAAAAAATAAAGCCTGTGTAACAAATTTGCTAGAAACATTAGACATTTTAACAGCAAGCGTGAGTGACAGTTTACCGGTAGATATGATTTATATGGATTTTGCTAAAGCCTTTGATAAGGTTCCACATAAAAGACTGTTGAAAAAGTGTGAAGCATATGGTATCAAGGGTGTAATAAATAACTGGATATCGTCTTTTTTAAAAGAAAGAAGGCAAAGAGTTGTGATGGGTGTAGACGTGTCTCCATGGCTTGAGATTTTTAGTGGTGTGCCTCAAGGCTCTGTGCTTGGTCCTTTGTTATTCTTGATATTCGTAAATGATCTACCATCAGTTATTAATTCCAATTGCAAATTATATGCAGATGACAGTAAACTTATCAAAGTTATAAAAAATGTTGAAGATCATGAGTCTTTGCGGAATAACATTAACGAATTTGTAAAATGGACGGATACCTGGTTGACAAAGTTGAACATCAAAAAGTGCAAGGTGATGCATTTAGGTAAAAAGAATCCACGAATGAGTTATTGTATGACCCACGACGGCAAAGAGTATAAATTAAAAACAACAGTAAGTGAAAGAGATTTAGGAGTTTTATTTCATCCGACCTTAAGTGGCATGATCAAGTGACTTCAGTGACAGCAAAAGCACAAAAAACTTTGGGTCTAATCAAACGTACGTTTACATACTTCAACGTGGAAATTGTGAAATCACTATATACGATATTTGTGAGACCGCTTCTTGAGTTCGCTATACCTGCATGGTAGCCTTTTTTACAACGGGATATTGATGAGTTAGAGAAAGTGCAAAGAAGAGCAACGAAGTTAGTTCCACAACTTAAAAAGATTTCATATGAAAAAAGACTGAAAGCAATGGGTTTAACAACATTAGAGAAAAGACAAGCTAGAGGAGATCTTATACAACAATACAGATTCAAGCAAAATATAGACCAAATAAATTGGTACAAAAATCCAAAACCGGCATCATCCGTGACAAGTTCAGGCCCGGCTTTTTCTGTAAGGGGCAATAAATACAGGCTAGAAAGAGAATACGTATCATCATGTTTACCGAGATTTAATTTCTTTACCAATCGAGTTTGTAAAAATTGGAATTTGTTACCAAATGAAATCATTGAAGCAACATCGTTGAATGTTTTCAAAGCGCGAATAGATTAACATTTTTACTTTCAGTGTATGCAGATGAAACACCTCATACATTATTACCTCATACATTACCTCATACATTATATATTACACCGTGTTATATAAAAGATGTATATATATATATATATATATATTTTCATAACTGTATATATATATATTTTCATAACTCGTGTTTTTTAATTTGTGTGGGCTGTCTATAACCCGAGGCTTGCATCGCGTTCCACAATTTGTTTTCTTTTTAAATATTTATATTTAAACAAATTTGTAATTGTTATAGCAATAAATATTACTATTACTATTACTATCATTTCTAGTATTAATTTAAACAGAAGAATTCAGAACCATCATAAGTTTCCTTTTTCTTCTGAAATAATAAGTTTACTAACAGAAATGCAATTCAATATTACGTAAAATTAACATAGCAAAAGCGAAGAAGGTAGTGACGGCGATGACGACTGCGAAGATGAAACTTCTGATGAGGACTTAATATTAACTATTTAGATTTCATTGAATTAGATAGTGAAATAAAGTTGAAGTTTAACAGAATTTTTGAACATTTATTCATTTAATGCTATTTCTATACATATTAAACATAACTAAATATTAAATATAACTACACATTGAATATATATAAATATATTAAATATACTAATCATGTTAAACATATTTATACACATATATATTTTAACCATATAAAATTTAATTATAACACATTTAGAACATATAACCTATCTTAAGAAATAAAAATCATCAATTATTTTGTATTTAAATTAAAGTTATTAACTTATGCCAAATAATCGAGTCTCAAAAACCATAGTGCATTGGAGTAAAATGGGACAGGTGTAAGTAGAAGTGGAACAAATAAATTTAAAACAACATTTTAACACAAATTATTAAATAGAAACGGATAAAATCATAAAATCGACATAAAAGTATTCAACAGCTTTCACCAATCAAAATAATCAAATGGCGACGGGAAGAAGCGAGGCACAAATATTTCTTTTTTGTGAAGCTCCAAAATCTGAATTTCATTAAATTAATGAGTCACACAGGCCCGCCCAGAGCTCTTGTGATGCCCGGGTCCAAAATTTTAATAAATGCTTTATCAAACTTTAGATCTTAAAATGACAAATATCAAATAAATTAGTATAGTCATTTTTTAATTACTTTCATAGAAAAGCTAAAATCACGTTTAATTAATTTTGGTTTTTAAAAGCAAACTATGGAAAAATTAAGTCCTAATATCGAACACATCTTCCGGGCCTTCATAGCGGCAAAAATAACTTTTTCATAAGAAACGTTATTGGCTAAATCTAATTCAATTGAAATTGTCATCAAGTAGCAATATCGCTCCTGGTCCATTATGGAACAAAGGTAATCTTTGATGATAACTAACTTACTGAAAGATCTTTCACCTTCAGATTGAAACGGGCAATGTTTGAAAAATTTTAAGTGAAACACATACTTGCGGAAATATTGATTTCAACGCTTTTGCATAAACGTCATTTAAAAGTTCGACAGACTTTTTGCTGGCTAGAATATTTCTTCTTACGGAAAAAAAAAACAGCTAAACTTCATCAGAAATTTTTTTTTTTCAGTTTTTACATTAGTCTTCTGGATAACGTTTTGCCAGATTCTCAACTTTTAAACCTATTTTTTTTTCTATTTGAGATTTCTGTGAAGACCAAAGGAAAGAAAACTTGTTACCGTTCCTCTTTCATTACTTTCATTATTCTGTGAAGACCAAAGGAAAGAAAACTTGTTACATTCCTCTTTCATTACTTTCATTATTCTGTGAAGACCAAAGGAAAGAAAACTTGTTACCATTCCTCTTTCATTACTTAAAACCTTGATCTCATTTAACTAGCCAGATTGTCAAATGAAACATTGAAGACACTCAAAGTTTTTTGATGCTGTTGTTTGATGTTGTTTGTTTTTGATGTTGAAGTTTTTGTTTCTTTGTGATTTTAACTAGCAGATCTTCTTTTTTTTGAACTCTCTTCACAAAAAACATAACTTCATTAAATTTTAAGTTCTTTGCAACTTCTGCTGCCAATATCAGGTATAATAAGGTCCCAAAACAAACGGATTCAACCCAGATCTTTCAATTGGCTATTTAAATAATTCAAAAGTGATTTGAGTGAATTGAAGCTAAAGACTGACATTGTTAATTACCATTAAACATTTATACCAAGAAGTAGTGAAAACATCCATTAAATTAGATAATACACTTCATTACTACTTTCGCCTGGAAGGTCAAACTCTTTTGGAAGATTTAATTTCAAGATCTTTCTTGGGTTTTTTGCTAGTGGTTTTACTGCTTCAATCCTTGAGCTCCATCGTGTAACAGAAAGTTTATGTAATGATTGGTCTGCCTACTCCTGAAGAATTTTCCAACAAACTGGGCTGCAGCTGAACAGATTGTATAGCTTTTGAATATTTCCAAAATAGGATTTTGCAGGAGCCGATAATTCAATAGCGTGTACTGCACATAAGTTCAAACTGCGAGCTGAGCAAGGAATAAAAATTGCTTTTATATTATTCTGCCTAATCAAAACCTGAACCACATTGTAAATACCTGCAATATTTGCGCCATCGTTGTAGTCTTGCTTAGCAATAAGCTCCATGAAGTTTCCATTCCCATTTTTGAACAATTTTTGATTGGATTATAATTGCAAACAAAAAATTATCAAAATAGTTATCCATATTTATATCCAATCATAACTTTTAGTTTTGATTTCTAAATTATAAATAAAATAATGCAAAATATAAATTAAAATTTAAAAACAATTTTCTTACTCCTAAAAGCTAAAATTCCTCAAGCCAGAAAAATTTTGACATAAAGAATGCATTATAAAATTAATTCATAATAAAATCCATCGCTTTGTTTCATCCAATTTTGTTTCATGTCCGAAAGAACTTTTACAATAAGCTTATTTGACGGCATTAACTTAAGCTTATTTATCTTCTTATAAAAAGGTAATTTTTACTTTATTATGCAAACAAAAGGCCAATAAAAAACGCGTGCGTTCAAATGGAAAATGAAAACCTTGTAAAGTAATAATTATCCTATTTTAAATGTAAACAAAATTTTAAAAGGACAACGAAATTTATACACGAAATTCGCTTAAGCTTTAAAGATGATATCAGCTAAATTTTTTATCATTAAAATAATTTTTTTTTAAGGCATATGTGATGCCCGGGGCAAATTACTTCAATTGTCCCTCCCTCTTGGCGGCCCTGGAGACACATTGTAATGGCTTTTTGTTATATAGCAAGTATTTAAAACGATCACTAAATCATTGGGGTCTGAAAATAGATTATCCTTTTTTCATTGGGGCCCTTCTCTCATTATGTTTTGCTCCATAATTATTTAAATGATATGATATTAACGAATATAAGTTACTTTATTATTTTTGTTACAGTTTATTTCAAAAAATAAATTATTCCCATCCTTCGACTAAATCGACTTCTAGTCAATTTTAGTCGATTTTAAAAAATATGTCAGTTTTAGTCGACTATAGAAAATTTATTAGTCGATTTAGTCGACAGCATTATTTAGAAGTTGTTTATTATTTAGAGAAGAGTTGTTTATAATCTTTTGTTATTCTTAAATTATTTATTTGTTTGATAATAATAAATAAAAAGTTTAAGAAGTTAAGAATAAAATTCAAAATGTAAGCAAATAAAAAATCAATTAATATTTTCAAATAACAGTTTCTTCATTAT